ATTAAACCAGGACCAGGCATTGGATGGGCTGGAAGCCTTGAAGTTGATCAGGCTCAAAGGGGCACTTGGTACTCCGAGTCATCGTGCTCATGCCATTACAGTAGCTAGTTAAAATTACATGAACATGAAGTTATCATCCCCCTGCTGCTCGAACATCCGACATCATTTGATCTTTTGGCCCTAGTACAAGTTAGGTAGGTCTACCCCTCGGAGGAGTAACATTAGTACATACCACCTTTTCAATCATTTCTTTGACCTGATTAAGCTCCTCTTTGACCTGCTCTCTGAGCTGCTGAACCTTCTCTTTGATCATTCGCTCCATTCGGTCTTCGGTGCGATTAAAACGATCCATAATCATCTACGGAATTAACGGAAAGTTAGATCACTGGCACGGCGGGGGTTCGATGGTGCCAGTGTACAAACAGTTTGCAAGTGATCATTATTGTCGAAAGCCATTTTCTTCGAGTTCTCATAAGCTATCAGCTGCTTCTCGTGCTTTTGGACTCGGCGATCTATCTTGTAGGCGTCTGAATTTTGATTGATATCACTGAGAGGCCGCATCACGGAACTCGGAACTCGCGGCAACTCACAGACGCCCACGCCTGTCAGTTCGGCTGCAAGCAGTAATCCGGGATCCCACGACGTTGGCGGACACGGGGTTCGTGAAGAGGTTCTTAGAGGCGAGGGCGGCCATTGGTGGTGGTTTTCTCGATAGCGCGGTGTCACATAGGGGGTCACGGTCAAGCCCCTGTACTTACAAGTCTCTTCTTCTACATCACAGTTTTACTTCTTGAGCAGGGCCAGCAGAGATTTCCAGATCATAATTATAAGGAAGGCCGCCAACTGATAAATATGCAAATTGTGAGCAAGCATTACATTACATGCGATGGGTTATAATGTTATAGAAACTACAGAGCCAGGCTACAGTGCGAATGCTCTAAATCCTCGGGAAATAATCTTAACGCAAGTGTTTCCACAGTTCTGTTCCTAGCCGCGCGCAGACTAAGTTAGTGTACACCGTTCACCAGAAGCTGGTGGCCGTCGCGCAGGCGCTGCTGCATCCGCTCCGCCACCGCGTCGTACACATACTGCTGCACCGAGCGATGCCGCAGCCCCAGCGGCGAGTCCTCGTCGTCGTCGGAATCCGTCAGCCGGTCGTCCAGACCGTCCTTGGGGCCCATCGACATCTCGTCGCCCGATTCTGCGGGGGAAAAAAAGAAACATGAGCGTCAAAATCATGGCCGTAAACAAGGACTCGTACGGCCATGGTCAAGCGGGTCCGCAACGACTTTGCGCTTGCCCAGCGCCTTCGCGCTCGGCTGCATCGCCCGCTCGTCCCCGTCGTCCTCGGAGTACGCCTCCCGCCGCTCGTCGATCGAGCCGCGCCCGTTGGTGTCAAACGAGCCGCGCCCATTCGTCGCCGCGTGCTCGCGCGTATGCACGCCCGCGCCCCCCACGCGCATCGCACCGAGCCCGTTCGCAAGCTCCGCGCCGGCACCGGCACCGGCGTCGGGGTGCCCGGGCGACGGCGTGCGCGAGAGGCTCACGCCGGGCGAGCGCGGCCCGTGCGGCGCGGCAGGCGGCGGCGCGAGACTCTGCTGCGGCTGCGTGAGCGGAAATACGTCCACGTTCTGTGGCTGGTTCGGCGGGGTGTGCTGCACAGGCGCGCGCGCAGGTGACGGCGAACGTGAGCGCGAGGAGCTGCCACCGCCGCCGCCGCCGCCGCCTGTGACGTCTGAATGCAGCATGCCATCCTCCATGAGGTATTGTCGTTCCTGCACCGAATAAATGCCTTGCTTTACGTGTAAAGTTTTAAAGACGAACCCTGGGATCCAAACGGACCTCCCTCCGGCTACGGTCTTCAGTCTCGCGCTCCACGGCGACGCGCTTGAGATCGTCATACAGCTTGAGCGCCTCCAAGAGCTGCTCATTGGCGATCAGAAGTTCCCCAAAGAGGTCTTCCTCGCGGGTCGAGGCGGGCGCTGCAAGGTCCGGCAGGCTGTCATTGCCCTGGAGATTCGCGGGGTTGAGTGTGTTCTCGCTGTTCTTACGCTTGCGCTCTTTCTCTTCCTGCTGGTCCCTCGCCGCCCGGCTGCGCTCTGCGCCGGCCGACGCCCACGGGATCTGTGTGAAAATAAGCTCCTGCGACGCCATGCATTTCTTGTGGAATTCCTGCCGGAGCATGAGCTACATTCACGCGATATGCGTGCTTGTCGACGTACCGTAATGACGGCACTGCCCAGATCATCGGGAGTCGCCATCGCAAGCGCCTCGCTGAGCAGATTCGCATTTCCCACACCCATCTTGCACTCCTGGAACAGGCGTCGCATGTCTTCGTCGGGAGGTATGATGCGGTGCCGAGGGTCTCGGTGATGCTCCCGGTGTGGCTTGTCGCCTTTATCGCTCGTCTTGCGCCTGCGTGGAGGGGGTTTCGTGATCTGCGGCGTCTCAGCCTCGATGGGCGTCGCGTCCTGGTAGGTAACGATGGGAGCGACTGGCACATTGTCGTAATCGAAAACGGGCACACGGACGCCACCAAGTGGGGGGTTAAACATTGCGTCTTCGGTGTCGAATGGCACGCCTTCCTCGGGCTTGTCTCTAGGCTTGACTCGTCTCCAAAGTCCCCGAAAACCGGTGTCTTTTTCTAGAGGAAAACGTAAGTGAGAGTGAGACGTTGCTGTAACCGGAAGAACACACTGGATCCGCTGGCGTATGCAGCAGCGGCGAGAACGTCCATGACACGTTCGCGGACGACGGGGGATGTGCGAGTCGATGAGAGCAGGTCCTCGAGCGTGTCTAGGAACTTGCGCGAGGTGGACTGGGAGATGAAGGTATCAGATGAGTTGCGCAGCATGATCGCCCACAACTTTTTATAAGATGTTAGTATAAGATCCCATCTGGAAGGAACTGGCTCACCCGAGCAGCGGCAAGCTGCGCGGCAGGTTCTCCGTACTTGAATTCGCGACGCAGCGCGCGCACGGCCTCCTTGGCATTAGCGTCATTGGCCGAAGCATGGTCGCAGACATCGAGGACGAGGGTCCAATCCTCGGAGGCAGTGGCAGTCAGAAATCCTAAACCGAATGTGAGCAGGCAATCGAAATAAAAACATGACCCGCACCGATCTTCCGGGTGAGCTCGTTCTCCTCGTCTCTGCGCTCTCTGCCTCGTTCACGCTCCCGCGCCTCGCGTTCCAGGTCTGCGCGATCACGGTCCCTGTCGTTTCCGCTGCGTCCCCAGAAGCTGCCTTTGCTCTTGTCCTTGTCTTTATCGCGGAGTCCATGCCCATTCTCCGATGATCGCTCGTCTAGCCGATTGGGTGCCTGCACCGGATCCAGCGAGGATAGGATGCCCAGCGCAGGCGGCGGCTTCTTGTTGCGAGACGGAGGCTGTTTACTAGATGGGACGCTGTACGGCGATGGCGAGCGAGTGGGGCTCGGTACGGAGGGCGATGCCCCGGGCAGCAGCGGCGGAGAGTTTTGTTCAATAATGTCCCATTGCTCGCCGTCGACAGAAGGTCGTGCTGATGCAAATTGCTGGTGAATCGGAGTGCCTTGTGGGGTTTGTTGAGGTTGAGGTGGTTGCGGAAGTTGGTCCTGCAGCATATTAGAGCAGCACAAGATGAATGCACCAGTCCGGTACCTTGGGCTTATCCCGCTGGAAAAGCTTTCGCATGGTGTGTTGAGCTCTGTCGGGCTGAAGGCGGTGAGCGATGGTCACGCTGTCACTGTGACACATTTACTGCTGCGTCACAGCAGCAACAACATCGACAGCGATCTGACTCTAATCCGCCTGAGATTCGCGCCATCCAGGCTTACCTCTAGTGACGAACCATTCTGGATACTGGTGCAGAAAGGACGACACGATGACTTTGAGTATATTACCCTAGTCGACGACGACGACGACGACGACGACGATCTGTCTTGACGACGACGACAGCGATGAGGATTACGTCAACCTGATATCGACGATTGTCACCTAAACCGCGACGACCTTCCTACCTTACACCAACTTCTTAGGCTAGATCGAGGGAGGGTCACCGGCTTGTTGCCGAATCGACTAGCACAGGTCCTTTGACCATAGCAGGTTTTTACGTCCGAGCCGTGGCAACATTCACTTGCAGTAAGAATCAGTCTTGTCCCCCTCTTTTGCCACCCACATTAAGTCCAGGTCATTGAAGCGATCAAAATTTGAACAGCAGACGCTAAGTACCTTTGTAACTATCGAATGGCTTTTTGATCCCGCGGCTGTTTACGATACCCTGAAGACAAATTGCAAACGAGGATCCAAACATCCTTGCTTTCATTTGTGAGAGGCGATCGAGAATCATTATCCGACCTCGCTTTCATTATAGACCTAGTGGTCGAATGCGCAGCCAACTGAAGACTGAGATACAACCGGTGCGGTGACGTTGGTTGTTATCGCGGCGGCGATATGAAAGGTGGGTCCCTCGTCGTCGGCGCAGGCATATTCGCTAGGCTGAACTGGACAGATCTGAATTTCTATTGTTACCGTCTCTACACTCGCCGGGCTTCCTGAGGCAGAACCAGATAGCCAGAGCGATAGTAAGAACTCTAAAACCTTGCTCTCTGATCTGTGCTTTCACCGGTCTTTGACATTGAACGCATGCTTACCACGGTTGCCCCCTTCTTGGGTTGACTATCGTTGGGAAAGAGTACAAAAGTTTCGACGGACCGTCTTCACAAGTCCAACCTATGCATTCTTTTCCGTTCAACTTTTGCTGATCAACATGGATCTCATACTTTTTCCGGATAAATTTGTTCAATTCCCGCAGCATATGGAGCTCTGGTTTTTTATCACCTCGAAGCCTTTATGTCTCCAGGTCTGCGGTTCTGTTCACACCAAATCCAGGTCATGGGACAACGGCATGAGAAACGGTGTGGAGTGTTCTTGCGTGCTCAGTTCTCACTGTCGGGTTAGGGTTTAAATGGACGTCACAAACCTTCACCTATCATAAAGCGTCATATCAACAAGTTAATCAAGGCAAGATGGCCGAGCGGTTAAGGCGTGTGACTCAAGTTTAACAACTTGCCCTGTTAATATGGGTTCTCATCACGAATAGTGGCGTGGGTTCGAGTCCCACTCTTGTCATTTTTTTCTTTCCCTGAAAGCAATTTTTTCCATCGTCCCTGCAGAAAGAGACACTCAGGATGCAGAAGCGCCAATACAAATACAAGCACTGAAAAAATTAATGCCGATAACTTATAGCGTGGGTTCGAGTCCCACTTGTCATTTTTTTCTCCTCCTGAAGGCAATTTTTTCCATCGTCCAGATGGAGAAGCGCCAATAATACAAGCGCTGAAGAATTAATGCCGATAACGGGTTCGAGTCCCACTTGTCATTTTTTCTCCCGCTGAAGGCAAATTTTTCCATCGTCCCTGCAGAAAGAGCAGATGCAGAAGCGCCGATACAAGTGCTGAAGAATTAATGCCGAATAGCGTGGGTTCGAGTCCCACTCTTGTCATTTTTTCTCCCGCTGAAGGCAATTTTTTCTATCGTCCCTGCAGAAAGAGCAGATGCAGAAGCGCCAATACAAGCGCTGAAGAATTAATGCCGATAACTTATAGCGTGGGTTCGAGTCCCACTCTTGTCAATTTTTCTCCCGCTAAAGGCAATTTTTTCTATCGTCCTGCAGAAAGAGCAGACACTCAGGATGCAAGCGCCTGCTAGCACTGAAAAATAAGGCGGGTAGAGCCGGCGAGCGGCAGGGCCCGCTACCTCGTAGTCAAGCCCCCGGTCACTCAGGCTGCCTATTAGGTACCTCTGGAATGGAGTTCAATTTGACCAAAATTTAATGTTTTCGGGTCCGGGATATAGAGTAAAACTGCCTCCGAGCGACGCGCGCGGGTCCGCCGTAGAAATGTAGGGAGCCGGAGATTTTTCCAACAAAAGAGCGCCCTGAGCTCGAGCCACGAGATTGGGGCCAGGAAAAAAGCCAAAAAAATTAGCGCAGGGATTTTTATTTATTTATCGCTCCTACATAGATTAAAACTGCGCCAGGCTGCCGATTTCTCGTAAAGTAAATGAGATTTCTTGGAAAAAAACAGGGATTGTCTCAAACCGATGGGACCAAGCACCTCCTGGAAGGCGAACCAGAGAGAACAATAAAAAACCTACGTCACTGGGATCAAGCGCATCACGCCAAGGTGAAGCACAGCCACCGCAAAATCGTAGGTTTTTATTGTTTGTCTCACATGGTTCGTCCCTAAACCCACTACCTAAAGGTAGCGGGAATTAATGCCGATAACTTATAGCGTGGGTTCGAGCCCCACTCTTGTCATTTTTCTCCCGCTGAAGGCAAATTTTCCATCGTCCCTGCAGAAAGAACAGACACTCAGGATGCAGAAGCGCCAATACAAATACATTGCTCTAGCCAGCACTGAAGAATTAATGTCGATGGCATGTAACACAACAAGATGCATCCGCGAAACAAAGCTCAATACTAATAGATTAATTACCATTGACCCGTTCATACCCAGGCGTGCGGCTGAATCCCGCATCGATCGACACTTGCCGTCTTTGCCCAGCCGCCTGTACGGAACACAGACCATCAACGAAAGAGAGCAAGAAACAAGAACCAGACGACATACCGCATGGAGCTTGTCCATCATCTGTACCGTCGTCTCCCAGTTGACGCACGCGTCTGTGATGCTGACACCATACTTCAGGTACTTGGGGCCCTCGCTGGGCACGTCCTGTCGTCCCTCGTTAATGTGCGACTCGATCATCACGCCGGTAATATTGCGCTCGCCCGCAGCGAGCTGCGCGCAGATGTCGTCGATCACGCGGGGCTGGTTGTTGTGATTTTTTTGCGAATTGCCATCTGGCAAAGACGTCGATCAAAGGAAGGCGGCCCATGAACCAGGAGTTAACGTACGGCTGCAGTCGACCATTATGCTTGCCCACTCCTTCTTTTTCAAGATGTTCTTCGCGGCCTCTTTTACGTGGTCGCTAGAGTAGTTAGGGCCACTGGTACCGCCGCGTAGGATCACATGAGTGTCCTGGTTGCCGCGGGTTTTAACGATAGCAGCGAGGCCTGAGACGTCCGTCAACGCGAGCGCGGACGTGGAAGGGATGGGAAGCATTCTCACCTTGCTCCGTCACACCCATGAAGGCATGGGGCGAGCCGGCAGAGAACATCGCGTCGATGGCAACGGTGACGCTGTGCAGATGGATGAGACAGAGATAAGAAGGTTGCAGACCTCGCGGACCTGCCGTCTGTGCCATTTTTGAAGCCGATGGGGAAAGAAACGCCTGAGGCGAGCTCGCGGTGGAGCTGCGACTCGGTTGTCCGAGCGCCGATGGCTCCCCAGGAAATTACTTTGGGAAACGGTCAGAAGAAGGACCGGTGGACGGAATTCCAACTGACAGTCGGCAAGATACTGAGGTGAGATCGTATCAAGCAATTCCGAACCGACGGGAACGCCAGAGTCGGCAATGTCGCAAAGTAACTGTCTAGCGATGCGCAGACCCTTATTTATTTTGAAAGAACCATCGATATCAGGGTCATTAATGAGACCCTTCCATCCGACGGTTGTGCGAGGTTTCTGCAGGCTGGTGAACAATATGCTTGACCGACGCGACAACAAGTCACCTCGCTTCAAGTCAGTTAGCAACGTCGTAAGACGACAGTGAATCGAACGCACAAGTACGTCCGCATGACGATGAGGAGATTCGACCAGTCAGGAATTTTTGACTTTAGTAGGCTAGCGTACTCAAGGGCCTGTTCGGGAGAATGGATCGAACACGGTCCAATGATAACCAGAACGCGGTCATCTTGGCCAGCAACAATGCGCGCTGCATTGTAACGCGCAGATGCAATAGTTTTTCGGGCGTTGGCAGTGGAAGTGATCTCGTGTCTCAGCAAAGCAGGCTGGACAAGAGGATCGTACTATGCTGTCGTGAATTTCGTGCATGCTCGATGGCGACGGCACCTACGCCCATGACGCGGCGGTCTTGGATGTACTGCTGGACTTTTTCTGGGTCGTCGAAGTCTGCCAATGGGCTAACGTTGTACATGTCGTCGGGGGGAACGGCTGGTGGAGGTGTAGAGGTGAGAAACGACAGAGAAACTGGGAAGGGCTGGATACCGAATCTAAAGGCATTTTGACGATCTTTTATACTATTGGATGCCATCCTGGCAAAGCCGGGCAAACGTTCGAGTCAGAAGCAAGTTTATTCTTAGGTCATGGATCAGCGGCCGTGGGGTAAATTTCTGTCACGCTTTTAGCATCTACATCCATGTCGCGGGTCGCAGTGTCTCTCAAGCCCACGGCCGGCTTTTGCATAAAATCATCTACGTTACAGCCCGCCACCCTCAGAGTCGCGTCCGACGTACTCCCTGGTCAAAATTCTCTCGAGCCACAAAGTACACATACAGCCGTCCCAAAAGCCCACAAGGTCTTTGTTAACATCGCTTGGGACAAAAGTGTTCCGCCTCCCCCGGAGGGCAATGAGGAGGCGATACAACGTGCCATGCGCGGCGAGGACGATACGGATCACCCTAATCCCGATGCGTGGTTTGTCCCAGTCGTTGTATCCGAAGCTAAACAAGACACGGATAAAGGTCGGCATTCTAATTCTCCTGCCGATCAAGTTGCGGCCGTCCTTTGTGCACTGCAAATCGCGGTTGTTTGTCAAGCTAACCTATGCTTTACCAGCTGGTAACCCATCTCTTGTGTTTGACTGCATATACAACTCTACCATCCGCGCGCGGACTCTTCGTGATCCACTCTTCAAGACGTTTATTCAAGGCGCGTTGATTCCGCACAGCACAAACTTCAGTACTCAAACGGCTTCTTTTCTCGCTAGAACTAGCGCTCCAACGAATAGAAGCACAATCATCACTAGTTCTTTCACGCCGCATATCAATCCCGAATATCGCGTCAAAGGGGAAGCTTTTACCGCGAACAGTCCTCATCCCGTCGTCTCTGGGTTTGGCCCCAAAAAAACCGCTGATCGAGGAGATAGATGCTACGGCCGGGCCCACGACGGTCTCGGTTGACAATGTAAAACCCGATGTCCCAACCAAAGGGATATTAAAATCTCCTACGCCGGGTGCCCCACCTAGTACTGCATCTCGGCCGACATGGAGCTGGTCCAAGGCAGAAAGCGACGGTGCGATCGAGATAACCATCGCCCTTCCATATCTTGTGTGCTGCTTCGTCCGTGTATGTCGGCCATGGCTAATCTCGTGTTATTCCCAGACACATGCGCTCGTTCCGCAGACGATTCTCGACCTGGAATCCCGGCGGTTGGTCCTCTCCGTGCCGTCACGCCCGCCACTGGACATAAACTTCGGTGTGTCCGACGCGGAAATCGTTGCGACGGCCCACGGCACCGCAGACGCCGATACTGCTCTAAAGCTTAAGCGCGAGCGGGCGCTCGATGTAGACAATGCACGCGCAGAGTGGCGCGTCGCAGAGGGCGTGCTGGTAGTGACTGCCTGACGGATGGTTGTGTGATCCTGATTTTTTGGGACATTGGGGATTCTTTAATTGTTTCGCTCGATGCCATTCGGGTGTAGATCTTTAGAGAGTACTTCAATACCGTCACTCGCTCTACTGAGTGGATTTCCAGAATCCATCCAGTTTTAAACGTACTTCTCCTGCTCGACACATGGGACACAAAGCAAAGGATCTTAATGAAGAATACAAAACATCGGACAGTGGGGCGACACATTTCAACAGCGCAAGGTTGTGCCACAGACTCTCAAAAGGTAATATGGATCCGTGGTCGCGCCGGGTGCTTGCTTCGCAAACCGTCGGAGATGGCTCAAGATGCTCATGTAACTCGGTGGCATGAGGGGTTTGGAGGAAAGAGCAGAGATGAAGATCTAGAACTGCACTTTGGTGCCCCATTGTCGCGTCGCAAATGTGCATGTGATCGTGAAGTTGGGTGGCAGAATCGAAAAAGCTTCGAAATTCAAAAAAATGTTGAGTTCACCTTCTTTTCAGCTGAATTTGCACAGGAGGTGGGCTACATCTGTCCAAGCATAGAGTAAAATTTACAGAGCTGGGGATGAAGAACTATGCAATAAATTGACGAGTCGCTGCGCGACTCATTTCCCAATCGGACAATTGATGGCCCGT